GCAGCTCCACAACGAGCACGAAGGAGAGCTGCACAAAGTTTGACCCTAGTGTCTGTCGACCAAAACAAACGAGGGGAAACACTGCGGGGAACCCACCTCGTGATCCGGCACGCCCTCGATCCCTGACCCACTCGCCGTCGAAGCCCGCGCCGTGGCCTCAGACCCTTCCTTATGGAAACATAATCTTGCAATTATATCTTGGCATTTTGACCCAAGATTTGCTCACAATATATCTCCGCGAAGATTTGCAGTATCGCGATTTATGGGGGAAATATCTTGAATGTTGAAAATGCGGCGTGTTGTTCCTCTCTTCTGCTTGAAGTTGAAAAAGGCACAACGGCCACTTGGTCCACAGAAAATGCCAAGGTGTGGCGAAAAGGGAGCATGACGCAGTTGTAGAAGGGGCATCCCTCCCCCAGCTGTATTGCCTCAACACTGTGGGTGGATACTAGCCATGGGCGTCTACCTGGGGTGCAAAATTGAATCCGTTGCCCACGAGCTCATGTCAAGCGGAGAAACAAAACTGTTCCATTGCTGTCCAACTGACAAGAAAGTGCATCAACCCGAGGCCGATGACACCCATGCACGTATCTCATGATGTAGCAGGCGTACCGAGGTCAAACCTCCGGCGCTGTCATCTGCACCCACGGATTTGGCTCGGGTGCAAACGGATTGGGTGTGGGGTGATTCGATGAAGAGATAGAAGCGTCGCACACGACAGAGCAGTGTTGGCAAAACGTTCCTCCTGCTCTATTTTTCTACTTCAAAATATGTACTCTTTGAACGGTCCCTCCACAGATTGGTGATGACGCACGTGGAACGAGTCAGGGCAAATACGAATTTTTTTCGCGCGCCTTGGTTGTTTTCGTTCGCTGTCGGCGCCCGTGGCGCCGACACAGTGACGCCAGCGTGCGTTAGAGACCCTTGCGAGTGTGCCACGTGCAGATTTCATGGCGTTATGGACGATTAGGTTGACTGACCTTCGGTGATCGCGCCGCACTGAGGCAAGATTTGTTACGCCGCCTCAAGATTTGTCGGAAGGCTCGACTTGACAAATCTTGGGTCAAGATTTGTTCGAAAGGGCAGATTTCGGGCCTCGAGAAATCTTGGCCAAGATCTATCGGAAGATTTTGTTCCCATAAATCGTGAAACTGACAGATCTTGGCCAAGATCAAGATTTATCGACAAGATTTTGTTCCCATAAATCGGGGTCTCAGTGCCGGTGCTTCCCGCTGCAACGTTCTTCCGTTCCGTCTTCCCTCTCGTGCCTCGTGGAATTCATTCGCTTGCTGGAAGCGACCAACCGACGAAACAAAAATGATACGGAGTATTACATTACTACATGTCGGCGCCTGGAAGGACGGGCAACAAGGAACCTTGCGAAAAATACTGGGAGAGGACAGAATGGTGGAAAGGACGAGTAGGTTTGACGCGGAACCACAACGTGCCACACGCAACCCATCCAAGCACGGCCAGACAGGAACCACAACCCATCCAAGCACGGCCAGACAAGAAACACACGGCTGCTACAAAAAAACATGTGAGTGTGAGGGGGGTCGCACCTGAATAGCAGCGGAGGCGGCAGAGTTGGCGGCGTGCTCCTTGATCGCTTTCCGCTCGCTCCTAGCGTTCTGTTGCTTCTCGAGTGCCGCCATAGACGCCCTCCACGCTGCCTTCGAGGCGTCCGACATCTGGCGTGCGGTGGCTGCTATCTCGGCTTTTTTCTTCTTGTCCTCCTTGATTCTCGCGGCTATGACGGCGTGGTCTTGGCCTTTCTTGCTTTTCGGGGGCGTCTTCGCACGGCCCTCTCCCGCTGCCGCAGCCCCCCCCCCTCCCTCCGCCGTCGCCGGAGGCATGGCAGCCGCTGCTTTCCCAGAAGCAGTCGCGGCCACGGTGGCGGCTGCTTCTCCCCCGCCCGCCGCCATCACCGCCATCACAGCGGCAGCGACAGCAACTCCAACTGCCGCAGAGGACGCCCCCGCCGTCACCTCCGATGTGTCTGCTGCTGTAGACGGTGCCGTCTTCTCGCCCTTGTTGGCACTCGGCGCCGCACCCGCCACGGCGGTGATGCCGCCGTCAACTTGCGTCAGGTCCACGTTGCCTGCCGTCGCTGTCGATGCCACCGCGCCTTTTGTGACGCCGCGCTTCGGCCTCGCGGCCCCCGGCGCTGCCGCTCTCTTGTTGGCCTTCTTGATAGCACCCGGCGCGGCGCCCGCCACGGCAGTGACGCCGCCGTCATCTTGCGTCAGTTCCAGGTCGCCTGCTGTCGCTGTCGATGCCGCCGCGCCTTTTGTGGCGCGGCGCTTCGGCCTCGAGGCCCCCGGCGCTGCCGCTCTCTTCTTGCCCGTCTTGGTAGCACCCGGCGCGGTCGGCTTCGCGGCCCCCGGAAGCCCCGGTGTGCCGCCGCGCTTCTCGGCAACTGCCGACCTCGTTGGCCTCTTAGGCGCCGGGGCCGCGGTTGAGGGGACCACCTCTAGTTCTTTTTCGTCGTCGCTGTCGTAGCTATAATCTCGAAGGATGGGTGCTTGGAAGAACCTATCGTCCACACCTCCATCTGGCTCGTTGGCCACGTCCAACACCGCCCAGTCTGGAAACGCAGCAGCAGTGGTGCCGGTCAAACTGGTGGTAGACCGGAGAGCCGACGTCGCTCTCCTCTTGCCTGCAGCACGAACCACGTCGTCACGCTGCACAAGAGCAAATGGGCACAGGGGGGTGAGGGCGGGTGTAACGCGCAGCGTTCTCTCCAGTTTAGGCATTCTGTCGTATGAATGTTGCACAGCAATGGGTGATCGTATGGGTTACGCCGAAGGTCATAGTAAGCGCGACCACACCGAGAGGACCCGGAGAGGCGAGCCCTAACGCTCAAAGTCTAGCAAGCATTGGCCTTGAAATGCGAAAAGAAGAGCACTCTGTCGACCTGCCCTACCGCCAACCCTGACTAGTCGTACGAATGGCCTACAAACATGGGCACGTGGAGGTCACACCCCGGGAAAGTTTTGAACGTGATGTCGCCTTTCCCTACTTCACATACCAGTGGAATTAGCTTACCCCGTGAAGCCGAGAATCGGAACCCAAAATGCACGAGAGGCGGGAAGGAGAGAGAGCTGCACGCGAACCACACCTTGTGGTGCGGCTGGAAACTGCCAGAGCTGGCAGGCACTTTGTCACATTCTCGAAGTAAACACAGGTCAAATATGGTCTACACATGTACTCCGATTATCATGCTTCATGCTTTTCACTCACCAGCTGTGCTCCAGCGCCTTTGTCATGAATACTCTTTGCGAAGTCGCCCACCAATTTCTCGAGCTGGTCGCAGCCTGGAACGTACGAGCCATCCGGGATACGACCCGGGACGAACTCGAAACACTCCGGGTAGTTGCCCCTTTCCTCTTTGGGGGAGCAGACGCACGGCGAAAGGATGTTGTGCAAAGATGTGAACATCGAACACCACAAATAGCAAATAGGGTATGCTTGACGCAGCATTCCTCCTATCGGGGCTACCACCAGCGGATTAAACCACGTGACTGACACCAACCCCAGGCACCATTCACCTACGTAAGACACCGGTCAGCAGGCGAGATGTTCACCTTTCGTTAAGATGCCCTTCACGATGGCCATCCGAAAGATAGGGTATTCGCAGTCGGGCCTTTCGTAGCAAGGCGCAAGAACGAACGGGCGGGCGGGGAAATCGGCATGATATTTTCGGATGACTACAGTGTGAGCAGCGTCTTTCCGTCATTCCGTTTTGTACAACGCTGCATAGCCCCCTGTTATGTGTTCGGTAAGCCATGCGGGGAACTTGTACAGGGAGGTGATGCGATAGCGTCGGGAGCATAGGTATCATATGTCTCCTATCCTTGAATCGTGCTTTGAGGCTGCCCTTCGAACGAACACATGTACGCCAAGCGGCAACCAGAATGTAGCCATGCGCCGCCCAAAATACAACAAATCAACGCAATGTCGGCCGATTCAAACGGGCGATTTGACCCTGCGCCAATTGAAGGCATTCGTTCGTGCCCACCGGCTACCTCATCACTCACATCTGCATTTTGTTGACACTGAAGGGCAAGAGGTTGGGATCGCGATCCTCCTCCGACCGCACTTCTGTCACGAACCCCCGTATCCAGGGTCTCATTCCAACCCTAAGCTGTGTTGCAACCAAACAAAATTCGACGGACGCGGGGACACGACGGGACGTGAGCAGTCCATGTGCCGAAAATAATCAAGGAGTCGACGAGGAGCAGCAGGAATGGACGCACAAGACAGCAGCTAGCGGTTTCCACGTCCAGGTGCTGACACCTGTACGTCCGGTTTAGCGCAGGCAGCCACAAGCGGGTGTCCAAGGGCTGTCGAAGTGCTACGTGTTGTTGTAGCCGACCTCGAACTACATACATACAGAGGACGCGCCAATAACGCTGCATGGTGCCGCCATCCACGCCTTTTTGGAAGCGACGCAGAGAAGGGAAAAGGAACCTTCCCACAATATTTTAGAGGCCTAGAGCAACAACATCCTATAGAAAGGTAGCACGATATTCTGTGGTGCGCGGGCGCGGCGGAATGCGTCGAAACACACCAGACTACGAGTGCCAACACCCGTCAGGTGTGCATGACTTCGCAAACGTACGGGCAGTCGAGGCATGCACCCACCACGTCCGGGTAGGTGATCAGTATCCCGGCAGTGAGCCGAATGCCCTTCTTGCGCCATTTCTCGTGCTTGGGAGGTATATACTTATCCCCGTGCTTTTGCTGAAGAGACCACAGACCAATGCAACAAGGTTGTAACCGGGCGGCGGGGTGTGGCGCCGGTCGTGCATACGCCAAAGCTGGCGAGATAAAAAGGTTCTCCAGCTGGAAAACGCCTCCCAGAACCACACCCTACAACGCCTCATTTGAATTGAACGGGTCACACCGCCGCAGCAACAACGGCTGGCGGCCAACGCGATAGTAGCGGCGTTCCCTTCAGCAGCTCACACCAGCCTCATACCAGTCTACGACAGCAGATGGAGGTTGATTCCGCTGCGGCTGAGGCAAGCTCTTGGCAGCTGGAGGAGGTGCTGGCTTGTAGCGAGGACGAGACGCTCGATGTTGGTGGGGAGGAGGAAGCTGCTGGGCTTCCTTTCGACGCCGCCGAAGGCGAAGATAGCGATGACGAGCCCTCGCCTGCAGGTGGTGCAGGCCTCTGGGACCCATCTCTAGGTATGGCAGGCTATAAACGTATGGGTATGGCAGGTTAGTTCGCCGTGTTGTTGGTACGTTGTTTTGTTGGTACGTTACTCATCCGCGTGCTCCGATGTTTTCACCCGCGCGCACCTGGGTTTGACTCGCTTGCACAGGGGGGATCGCGACCCTTGAAGAAGAGATAAAGAAACTAGAGTTCCCCAACCTCGAAGACGGGACCGGCAACTTTGGGGAGAAAACCATGGACAACGCAGTCGCGATGTTGATGGCGAAGACCGGACGCGGCTTCAGCCTGAAGAGAGAGAATAAAACAAAGGTGACGTTGCGTGTTTCCATGTGTTGTTGGTGTGTGCGAAAGATGCCTGTGGGCTCGGCTTTTTCGTCTCGTCCACCGTAATCGCCTTATGATTAGCGACATGCGCAGCCTCTCATGTTGGACATCCGACGGCTGCTGACATCTGAATGTGTTGCCGCCGCCCCCCTCCAGCTTTTCACGAAAAAGCAGGAAAAGAACTCCCGCATGCGAAACAGATGGAGCTCCGTATGGATCAAGTGCTGCCAGGGGGGGAAGCCGAGAGCGTGTCAACGTGTCGCGGATCCGAGCGCTCGCCGCAACACAAAGTCACAGAAGGTTTGTCTGCCTGAAGTACGAACCGATGTGGAGCTCCCGATGTTGAGCTCTCGCCACCGTTGTGTCTCAGCTCCTCTTTTTAGCGCGTCGGGTGACGAGTCATCTGACAAGTCAACGGAGGAGTCGCGATGGGAAATGGACATTGGGCGCGCTTTGTTGTTTGAACTTCATTTCTTTTTGGCGCCGATTGAACATGATCGCTGCATACATGGACTTTTCGGGACATCGTCCGCGGTTGAACGTTCTGAGCTGCTGCGCTGTAGTCCCCCTCTCTCTGCAATATGAAGCGCTCGAAAACGCGAGCGTCGACGCAAGGAGTAGTTGTGTGCCGGGTCAGGACCTTTTGTTGGTCGCACGGCGGCCGCACCTCTTCGCTGTGGTCTCCGTTGTGCGGGCGATGCTCCAACGCGTTCTTCCGGCAAATTTGTTGGCTTTTCTGTTGTTGCTTGCTTGCTGGTTGCGCACCCTCTGCGCTGTAGTTGTCGAGGAAAGCACCGCAACAAGGGACGTAGGTGAGTCCACCTCCCGTGTGTATGTGTGTGTGTGTGCGGTTTGTCTTCGTGCGTATGAAACGCATGGAACGCAAATGGCGTAACGCTAAATGGCCATCGCTCTTCGCGCGGACACACATATTTCTTCTGTACCCTCACAACACTGTCGTGTTGTTTATACCCTGTCCGAATCCCAGGTGGGTTGCGAGTTCCACTTGGGGCTGTGGTGGGGGGCCGACATGAATACACCGCAAGTTGCAAAGGTGAGTTAAGTTGAGGGGAAGTACGTCGGTACAATGGATAGATCGCGTTGGATGCGTTAATGTAGGCAGCCCAAAGCTAGACATTCTTAACAAATGATGTTCACGCGGGTTCGAATCCCAGCTCTGACGCTTTGGACTCAGGAGGCACCCTTGATATATTTTGCCAGCACCGCATGGCGAGGGGTCCGTCCCCGGACATCACTGCCGACTGCACCTTACCAAATCAACTGCGCGTAGCCTGAGGTATGACAGGAGCGCACCCGCTTGTTTGAACATGGAGACCTTGCGATCATGTGCGTACTGTTGACACTGCTTCGCTTGCCTCCCGATACCGGATGCGCAGGGAAAGGTTTGCCTCGCGCATCTTACCCCCGATCCAGATTCAGCCGGAATGGAGCACGAGCGCCCACGACGCTACGAAAACGACGTGAGCGAGGAGGACATCGAGAAGGAATCCGAACTCATCCGTCTGCTACACTTCAAAAATTTGCCAACGATAGAGATCCACAAGGCTTTCGAGGACATCGGAAAGAGGCTGGGGAGAGCCGGAAAGCAAAAGGTGAGTGGGCGAGAGTGTAGTTTGCGGTAGTAAACGCTACCTAGACGGCGCGACGGGGGGGGGAGGGGGGAGTACTCATCGCCGTGCATGCCGCAGTCGTTAGACCGGTGACATGGCATCCCTACAAAGCCGGGACGGAATCATGCCGGCTTGTCACCGGACCAGTCTGTGACATCACCAAGCGCGAAGCACCGTGAGGTATTCGCCGAGTCGCATGGGGCGTGCCGCTACATCCAGCTGGGTGTGCGGCGTGTTGGGCTAAGGATGACAGCTGCGAGTAACCCTGAATTTGTTTTCGTGCTGCACTCTTCCAGAGACAGCAGTAAGGACAGTGTCAATACGTTGAGGGTGCTCGACCAATTCAACAGAAAGTGGTGCCACCATCCCCTTTGCGCAGAGTGAAGGTTGTCCACCCCGCACACCATGATGTACTCGACCACCATCATGTTTGCCGCTAACAAACACCAAGGCGACAAAAAGTGGCAACCTTTTTGTCGAGCTCACAAAGCCATCGGCGTGTTGCCGAGCGACAAAAACCCACGGGAGGAACGGGGGGTAGCCCAAAAGTGGGGTGATGACGAATTATGTAACCGGCGGCATTTTCGTTGAAACCATTCTTGTTTCGTCTGCATGCTTTCGTCCGAGTACACCCTAACCGAGTTCACTGCCGGGTTGTCCATGTTTCCGTTAGGTGCGAAGCATGAGGGATGCGTTCGACGCAGAACGTAAGGCCGACAACGGAGTGTTCAACGACGCCCAGCTGTTCGTTTCGCACCTCCAGCAGAGCGAGGCTTTCATG